TCCACCATGGAGGGTGGACGATTGTTCTTCTTCAACACTGGCTGCTATATATATGTGCAACAGCTGTTGAAGAAAGACACACAGCACACAAAATACACAAGACCAACAAACTGAAAATCGCTCAACAGATTTGGCTATACATTGCACTCCTTCCTCTCAGCATTTCTATACGATTTTCTGAGTTTCTACTCCTTTGTTCTGCATTGTTTTAACTTCAAACAAAGCAACTGTAAGTGTGATTTGCTACCGAACTTTGTGTTCGCTGAAACACTGGGGTTTGAAGTACCGCTACACCAGTGTGTGATTCGTTCTATCCTGGGAGGAAATAATCAATTATCTTGGGTACTAGGATGGGATTAAATTCCTTAAGGAAACACTGTGAATTCAGTGGGCTCAAACTAATTACTGTTTCATTACGATAACTTATATTTTGCAGAATTATTATTTACAAATACAGCAATATTGGCGGGAATAACAATTATTATCTGTGTAATTAGTTTTCATCTATTCTACGTTATCAGTCAATATTTTTTAAATAAATTTACCTTCAATTATCTTTGGACTATTTGTATCTCGTTAGATGCAATTATATGAGTTTTGGTTTCGATTCATTCTGTAAGTAAGCTTAAGAATTTTCTATGACCAGAAGTTTTTAGCACTTTTCAACAATTCCACGTGTCTGGTAATTCCAACATCTTGAATACTATAGATAGCGATTGTCAAAATTTAGGCTTAATTCTGAAATATCTGTCATATTTGAATCTTTATTAATTGCTAAAAAAGATGCCACATGTTTTCCAATTACCTCACGCAGAAATCCTAGTATGACCATTTGACCCACCCATAATTGTAATTCACCTGACACCACTTGTAGTTGCATTATTGCTAAAAATTTTGTCTTCATCAGTTTTTGAACGTTTGGCAACGGTAATGGGACTGTGCAGATTTAACAGAGACCTATGATCCAATCTTTCTAATCCACTTAGGCTATTTTGACGATTCTTAAATGTTTTTTATACTCGAATGTATCGTGTAGCTTGCTGAATAGGCATTCCATTAATTAAATAAGATTGAGAATATCTCTGTCTGAAAGCAAAATAGTCTCTTTATTCCAATAATATTTGCTTTTTCCGTCGGGTTAGTTCGTATTTTTCAATTGTCAAACTAAATCAATGGTGTCGAATTTTTAAATCAATAAACCAAGCCAAACCAACAAAGTCGGATTTTTCAATATCGATTTTCTCGAGTTTTTTCGGATTTTCGGGTTTTTTCCAATAAAATCTTCACAACACAAAATATGTAACTTGTGCTCCAAATTTTTCTTTAGTTTTAGTAAGATATAACTATATAATATATTTTCTAAGAAAATAACACAATAATATGAAATAAATTATACTAAAATATTCAATAACAAAGATAATAAAATAAAATAATTGAAGCTCATTTATTCTTTGAAGTAGAGCTTTAGCAAACCCCACTTTTGCCTCATCATTACATAAAACAAATATAGCTAATTAATAAGTCATAATGAAAATTAACATAATCTAAAAATATCATGCTAAAATAAGTATTCTAATAAATACTTACTTACATAACTAAACACTAAAGAAAAAGATAAACTAAGTTATGCATTTTCATTATAAATCAATGTAAAACTACAAAATAGATATCTGACACTATCATCATTCCAAGTATTGAATTGAATTTCTTTTGTTAGTATTAGTATTGAGTTGAACTTTGTTTGAATTACTACATTTATGGGCTATAAAATGTACGTATTTACCATTCAAGAATGTTAAGTTCAAACTTGAAATAATATGTTAAAAGATAAAACTGTGAAAAAGTTTAAGAAATATTTATAAATTACATTATAATAAATATTTATATGTATAAAATATTTATAAAAATTATATAAATGTACTATCGGGTTGAATTTTTTTCAGTTTGACTCGGATTATCGATTTGGTGTGATTTACCGATTTCTTTTGTACACTCCTATCTGCTTCAACCTCGGTCAAATATATTTACAATAACAGTTTGAAATATGAATAAATGAAATAATTATTTCGTAAATTAATCAACCAAGTTTAAAATTATAATGAAGTAGTATTACTTTATATCAATACAAATTGTTGGAGAAAGAAATAATTTTAGAATAATTTAATTTTCTTAGAATGAATTTAAAAAGTCGGGACGAATTATATCCTAGTCGTATAATATAAATTCAAATAACATCAACAGCTTGGACTAGTTTTTTACACAACATCTATTGCGTGCCTATATTAATTGATATTTGTACAAAATGTGACACTTTTTATATATGATTTATCTTTTTATTGTAATATATTTACATTTTTCATATAATATTACGTTTTCCTCGGTCTAATATCTTGATCACTAACTCACCAATGACATATGACTTGTCAACATATGAAGTACATCTCTAATAACAAATTCAGCAACCTTGCACATGCGACCAGGCTAAAGTCTTTCTCCATATATACGTAAAAGGCATATTCACTGGGTAACAACAAAAATAACAATTCAGTATAATCCCACTAGTGGAGTATGGGAAGAGTAGTGTGTACGCAGACCTTACCCCTATCCTGGGGTAGAGAGACTGGGAAGAGTAGTGTGTACGCAGACCTTACCCCTATCCTGGGGTAGAGAGACTGGGAAGAGTAGTGTGTACGCAGACCTTACCCCTATCCTGGGGTAGAGAGACTGTTTCCGAGAGACTATTCTCAATGTGACCTATAAGTATTTGCGAAGCCACATGGTCATAAGGGCACCCTTCGTCGAAAAATTGCATTATGTATATAGGTAAAATATTACGTTTTAGAAATATATAACACATATTGAACACCCTTTGTCGAAATTTTTTCACTTCTTTTAAATTTGAATACCCTTGGAGAAATTCCTAGCTTCGCCACTGTCTATAAGTCACGGGTTCGAGCCGTGAAATCAACTATTAATGCATGCATCAGTGTAAGTTATCTACATCACACTTTTTAGGGTGCGGCCCTTTCCCAGACTCTGCGTAAATGCGGAATAATTCGTGCATCGGACTGACTTTTTTTATTTAATTACTATAATGTATTCAAATTTTGCACGTATACTGATTTCATTTTGCCCTTAAATCTTAAATGATTAACTCAACAACATATGACTTGTCAACACGTGAAGTTCACCTCTAATTAAAAAATTTGGCTACCCCTATATACGTGTCAACAAGGTAAAAGCCTTTGCCTAGCTCCACCTAAAATGCGTAACTCAGCAGGTAAGTCAGCTCCCCACCGGCCCACCGTAGACGCTCACATACTTCACTACTGTGTGTTTGTAATTAACAAGGACACATGTAACAACTATAAATACTTTCCAATGTAACATGACAAGTACATAGCGGCATACTTTTGTTTTCTTTATCACCACTTTGCTTGCCTCAAAACTTCATCTGAATATATAGTTGAATCTATCATTTCCACAATGATATACTCCTCTAAAAACTGTGAGATGGAGAATCAACAAGAGAAAGATATTGCGTCTTCTTGTAGGAAGTGGAGTGAAAAGACTATGAATGCGTATATTCATAGCCAAATTATGCGAATTAGAGCAGAGGACTTGCAACTTGGGGAAGACATAGCCAAGAAACTTAGGCAGAGAGTTGTTGATCAGGATGTTGCCTCGTCTGTTATGCTATTGTCAAGGCCTATGTTGCCTGCTTCACCTCTTAGTGGAAAAACGGCCATAAAATCTGCTAACTGATCACCATCTAGGTGCGTATACCACGGTCCTATTTTCTCAACCTTTTTGTTTAATTATTTTTCATTCTTTATGGAATAGAGAGGTGAATTCAGGATTTAAGACGAATGGTTACATAATCTAATTTTGTACATATATTTCTCAATATTTAACTAAACTTAGATAGTGAATGCACGCGTACTCACTGTTGAACCTATAACACCACCGTCTAGCCGATCGCTTCTGACTAAACTTTTTTCGAATAGCCACTTAATATACGAAAGAGCAGTAGTAGTATTTTTGAGGTACTCTCTACTCTGTTTTTAGTTTATCAATGATAATATTTGCTTTGTATTCAGTGATCAATCTTCTAAAATTCAAACTGATTATTGAAGTTTTCACCCTGTTTGATTGGACAGGAAGATTTACTGTACGCTGAGGAATATGGGAGACGACCGTCCACAGGGATGATGAAGATGATGTAAATAGATATAGAGATGAAGTTGATCCTTTTCTTACACTTTCGTTTTGTATGTTTTGCTGTACATATAAAGTAGGCAGAATACAGACGAAAACTCCTCATCCACTATGTACCTTTAAAAAAGAAAATACGTAGGACGAGAAGCAAAGTTAGTGAATGGTGACTACTTACCTGTCAATTAAATAAAAGGTTAATAATGAACACGTCTCTGTATGTTCGTCCATGGATATGAAAAGGGGATGATAGAATGTAATTTACTTACTCAAACCAAGAACACGTGGCGTTTGACACATATATACAATTTCCATGTTCTTTCGGCAAAGTTATGCCACTAAAACGATGTGCTCGTTATAAAACCTATGGAACTTACTAACGTGCCATCACTTTGTAGGAATTGATTAGCGGTACATGAAATTGATTTTACACTTTCTGAACTATTTGATCACTGCTGAACTTGAGCTAAATTGTACACATAAAGGCAGACGTCAAGGAGATAACAAAACTGGAAATAATAAAACCACTAGAATTTGTCGAGGTTGAAAATAGCAAACTACATATCCAGAAGAAAGTTCAATCAACACATCATCCTACTGAATATGGATTAATTCCAAATTTTAACTACACCAATGAGACCATTGGCTACATAATCATCCAAACTAAACATACAGAAATTAACCTAATTAATACTCCTCAACATCATCATCTTCGCCATCACCAGATTCACATCCAACTTCCTCATAGTCCTTCTCAAGAGCAGCCAAATCTTCCCTAGCCTCAGAGAACTCTCCTTCCTCCATACCTTCACCCACATACCAATGCACAAACGCCCTCTTTGCATACATCAAATCAAACTTGTGGTCAATTCTCGAGAAGACCTCAGCAACACTTGTGGAGTTCGAAATCATACAAACAGCCCTCTGAACCTTAGCCAAGTCTCCGCCAGGAACAACAGTGGGCGGCTGGTAATTGATACCGCACTTGAACCCAGTTGGGCACCAGTCCACAAACTGAATGGTCCTCTTTGTCTTAATTGTGGCTACAGCAGCATTCACATCCTTAGGCACAACATCACCTCTGTACATTAAACAGCAGGCCATGTACTTCCCATGACGTGGGTCGCATTTGACCATCATAGACGACGGCTCAAAAGCAGTGTTAGTAATTTCTGCAACAGAAAGCTGTTCGTGATAGGCCTTCTCAGCTGAGATCACAGGCGCATATGAAGAAAGCATGAAATGAATTCTTGGGTATGGAACCAAGTTAGTTTGGAATTCATTCACATCCACATTCAGAGCACCATCAAATCGCAGAGATGCGGTCAACGATGAGATAACCTATAAAACAAACAAATTCAACCTGATTTATTAGGCAATCTCTTAACAGAAGTAAAACCGAATTAAATTTAAACATACAGGTTCAGCATATACTTTTTTTAACACTAAGTATATATAAAATTATAGGTTCAAAAGTTAAAACTACAATACCTGAGAGATGAGCCTGTTGAGATTGGTGTATGTTGGTCTCTCGATATCCAGAGACTTCCGGCAAATGTCATAGATGGCTTCATTGTCCAACAGGATAGCAACATCAGTGTGCTCAAGAAGGGAGTGTGTTGAGAGCACGGAGTTGTAAGGCTCAACTACAGCTGTAGAGACTTGGGGAGAAGGGTAAATGGTAAATCCGAGCTTGGATTTCTTTCCATAGTCAACAGAAAGCCTCTCAAGAAGCAGAGAACCAAGCCCTGAACCAGTCCCACCACCAACAGCATGGAACACCAAAAATCCTTGAAGCCCAGTACAGTTGTCCGCTAACTTCCTGATCCTATCAAGGCACAGATCCACAATCTCCTTCCCAACTGTTACCATATAAAACCACACAAAAAATTAAGAAATTGAACACGCCATGTATGTAAAAATATTCAAGTGAAGCTTAGGATCTTACTTGTATAATGGCCTCTAGCAAAGTTGTTAGCAGCGTCTTCTTTACCGCTGATGAGTTGCTCGGGATGGAACAACTGGCGATAAGTTCCGGTCCTCACTTCATCAATGACAGTGGGTTCAAGATCTACGAAGACAGCACGAGGGACGTGTTTTCCAGCACCAGTTTCGCTGAAGAAAGTATTGAAGGCGTCGTCTCCTCCACCAACAGTTACGTCTCCAGGCATTTGCCCATCCGGCTAGACAAATTATCAAACACCAGACGGCCACAATAAAAAAACGGAACAGATTCTAGACATAAATAAATAGTCATACAGTTCATAAAATAGAACTAAAATGATTGAAATAGAGAGTAAGGGACTGACCTTAATGCCATGTTCGAGGCAGTAAAGCTCCCAACATGCGTTTCCGACTTGGATTCCTGCCTGACCAATGTGGATCGAGATGCACTCTCTCATTTTTTGTTTTTCAAAGAAATTGCAGAGACCGTTGTAAAATAGTGTGTATAGTAGATGAAAATTTATGACAGGAGTGAATTGAATAAAGAGGACTAGGGTTAGAAAGGAGGGAGTGTTTATATAGGAGGGGAAAGAGGAGTCCGCAGATGGTATTTTGAATTTTGAAATGGTTTACAGCTGTGTTTGTGACCGTTGCCGCTCCTTTTTCGTTTCCGAAAATTTTGAATTCCTTCACTCCTTTGGGCCTCACGATACTGGACCGAGCTCATCAAAACGTTAAGAATCCCTTTTCTAGTTTCCTATTTTAAATGGGCTTTTTGGTTTTCTCTTTTGGACCCATTTTGAGAGTCCCCAGCCTGAGCCTTCTAAAGTGAATGGATAATGTTTAATTTTGTCCCTGTTTTTAAAGGGGAAACTACATTACATGCCTATAAAAGATAAATTATTTACCCTCTTTTACCCATCTTTAAACTATTTGTAATTTTTATCTATAGGGCCTAAATTTATTACACGCCTATACATTCCCCTTTCCCCGTTTCCCCCTTGATTCAATAGTAAAGGGTTCGATGTAAATGCAAAGCTCTTCCTCTCTTTCATTATGCAAGCATTTACTCGTAAAAAGACAGTTTAATGTACATATTTTATTTTATCCTTATTTTTTTAAATTGAAAGGAGTTTATTTCTATAATATGCAAAATCACGATATTTATAGATTAGTTATGCAAATAATTTTTTATGATAATATCAATAGTAACCAAATAAATTTACAATAAACATAAGTTATATAAAAACAAATACTATACTAATAGTATAAAAAATTAAATTATTGTTAATGTATATAACTTAAATCAAAAAATAAAAAATCTCTTAAACTTCAATAACGAATCAACTATGATTCTAGTATTGCTAATACATGAAATGATGATGTCTTGCTGGCTGTATCTTATGTTAACTCTTTAAAGAGCGAAAACTTAATAATTTATTTTTCATATATTTGCAAAACCCAGTTAATCTATTTATTTTTGAGCAATTTACACTAACTACCTACTCAAGTCAAAATAATTACCCGTTTATACCCATTTTAAAAATAACTATGACACCCCTATTTTACCAAAATTAATTACCCGTCCATCTATCTCTGCCTAAAAAGGGAGTTGTCATCACGGCCTTTTTAGTAGAACTCGTATTCAATGGAAGTGATTAAGCTGAAGGCAAAATAACATATCTAAATTTTAGTATAATCGATGATGCACAAAATTGAGTTAATTAGATTATATGACAACTGATATTATATCAGTTTAATAATTGAATTAAAAAATCTTTTTAAACTCTTTGTGTACAACTATATACTCTGTTGGTATAGCTATATACTATACAGGTATCATATGTTAGTTGGAACCTTTTTTGGTTGTATTAACTACGTTTAATTGGTACACTATTTTATTTTTCTTTAGTAATAGTAGAATAGTACAATATCTTAATTTTTTTAAATTTTTCTTTATGCGTGTGTATTATGTAAATATTTTGATTTTTTATTTATGCGTTTATTTTATATAATAGTATTATAGTACAATATCTTGAAATATATTATTATATTAATATGTGGTACATTATTTTTTGATTTTCTCTTTATGCACGTGTATATGTAATAGTAGTATAGTCATACTGGAATTAATTAGTAGAATTGTATACCATATTAGTATAATTATATGTCATATTGGTATTATATGGTAGTTGGAATATTTTTTGGTTGTTTTAACTGTATTTTTAAGTAAATTATATTCTGAAATGATTTATATGATCATGTTTTGCTGTGTTGGATTTTCTTGTACCTATGGACATAGATTTTGTGTATTATGTAATAATTTTTATAGTTATATGCAGTTGTTGGAACGATCCTATACAACTATATACCCTATTAGTATAGCTATATACTATACTGGTATCATATGCTAGTTGAATACTTTTTTGATTATATTAGCTGCATTTAATTGGTACACTATTTGATTTTCTTTTAATAATAGTAATATAGTACAATATCTTGAAATACTTTATTATATTAATATGTGGTACACTATTTTTATTTTTCTCTTTTTGCATGTGTGTTATGTAATAGTAGTATAGTCATATAGTTGCCGAAAATTAATCAGTAAATTTGTATACCATGTTGGTATAGTTATATGTCATATTGGTATCATATGGTAGTTTGAACATTTTTTAGTTGTTTTAGCTGCATTTTTAAGTGAATTATATTCTGGAATTACTTATATGAACATGATTTGCAGTGCTTGAATTTTTTTGTACTGATGGACATAGATTATGTGTATTATGTAATAGTTTTTATAGTTATAGGCAATTGTTGGAATGACCGCATACAACTATATACCATGTTAGTATACGGAATGAGCAAGTTGCTTTGCGAATATTTAGCTTGCAATGCGAGCATGTAATTTTCTCATACTTTTATTTAGGGGTGTTCATGGTTCGGTTTGGGTTGGTTTTTCCTAAAAAGAAACCAAACTAAGTAAGTCGGTTTTTTAAATATTGGAACCGAATCAAACCAATTAAGTCGGTTTTTTATCGATTCGGTTTTTGTCGGTTGTTCGGTTTTTTCGGTTATTTGTCGAGTTTTTCTTAAATATGAGACATACACTACCAAACGCATATTCCGGCGACTACATTTTCAACGTAACGCTATCAAACCAATTTCTCTTTGAGAAATCTATCATTTACCGAGATATATTGATGATAATTGACTCAAATAGTGATGATTAATTTAAGTACTCAATTAAAAATTGATTATTTTTAACATAAAATAAATTATTGTACTTAACAAAAGAAAACTATCAATCAAACTAGAAGGCATAGAATTAGATTATTATAATAGCAAAGAATTAGACTAAAAATACAAATGACTAATATGTACCATAAAATTTTAAAAACTTTATATAAAAATATACATATATATAGGTGTAATAATAAATTTAAATAACTACTTTTATAATCGGTTTTGTTCGAGTTTTTTCCGATTATTTTTTTATTAAAACCCAAACCAAACCAAATTTGATCGGTTTTTAAAATTTAAAACCAAAATCTAACCAAACCTAAAAATTATCAGTTATTTTGGTCGGTTTGGTTCGGTTTTCAGTTTAGTTCAGGTTTTTGGGTTTTTATGAACATCCCTACTTTTATTGCATCCTTTAATGTTTTGGTGCATTGGTAT